GCGCGGATAGTACTTGGATGGGTGACCGCCTGGGAACACCGCGTGTTGTTGGCACTATTTTTTTTTTATATTTTATATAACTTTTATCATACACAATCATACTACTTTGAATTTTCAATTATTTTTTGAACATAGAATGAATTTCAAACCCGAAGTCGAACCCAACTCAACTACCTTCAAACAATGAGTAACAAAATATGCATATAAACTCCTATCAAAAGTGTCGCGCTTCTGATGAATGTGTGCAAGGTAATTATCAGATTCCTTTGAACTCAAACACGAAGTATTAGCGAGTGCAAACGTGAAAACGGTACAGTTATAATTTAATATTGCTCATCGTTCAATTTTAATTCACTCCGATGTCACAAGCGCAGCGACATTTTTGTTTCGACATTTATATTTAAATAAAGCGTGCCTGGACCGTGTACAGAGATTTAAGTGCCAAACCAGAGGATTTTCTCTTCACATGCATAATTTATCGTGAATATTATAACGCATTGGTTTTCAAACTATGAAGCACTATCGTGTTTGCAGAGGTCCACAGATTTTTAACATAAACAAAGCAAGCATATTATAACATAGCATAAAAAACATCTTTCCATAGTATGTGACTATTACTAAAAATACTAATTCATTTTGCTATAAATAATATATCAGGAATTTTTATTTATTCTAATACATAGTTCAAGAAACGCTATTCAATGTGTTATGAATATTTTAAAGCAGAATCCTTTTTGGATATCGATCATTGTTTATTCATGCGCAATCAAAGTTTTTAAATAAATGCAGCACAAGGAATGGGTAAATAAAGAATGCCCAAGTGCATTTCATTGGAAACTATTCGACGAATTTAATAGTTGTTGAATTTAAATAAAATTTATTTCGAGATCGTTTCTTCAATGAACACAACGCAATGTTTTGTTGAAATTCAACATTTATTCCATATATTATCGACAAATATTTACCTCGATGATTTCTTTGAGTGATATCAAAATCGCTTGTTCCGCAAAAAAAAAAAATAATTGTCTACATTATAATTTGAGGGTCGAAAGAGTTGAATATGAGGTGTATTTATCTGATTCGATTGGGGCTTAAACGGTGGTTTCATTTGCTATTCATAAATTTCAATGTTCGTTTCATTATTTCGCGATTCTCGGTCCTGAATAATTCTTTCGGTTAAATCTATTCACGATTCCAAACGATTAGCTTAAAAGGAATATCGATTATTCTCAAGTAGGGTTACCAAAAGTAGTCTATTTTACCCAATCTATTAGAAAGTATACACGTGGTTTTGTTGTTCTGTGAGAAACTTGTACTAAACTAAAAATTTACTCTTTTACTTTTCTATCCTCGCTGACAACAACATCACGGACGTAAAACGGACAGTGACGAATAAATCGCACGGGCGACAAGTGAGCTAGCTGCTAATCACCAGAAATATCGTGCAAATTTATGAGCATAAATTCACCTCCTCTCTCGGGTTTCGTCTTATTGCGGGAGTAGTTCTCTATTGTCGATAATTAATCGTCCGCGGTCACGGTCTGCAACACCTAGCCTCGGAATCGTTGCTCCTTTTGGACTCGTTAATTAAAAGTTTAATTAAAACCACGTCAATTAATCAGAATTCTGTTTCGGCCGGTTCTCCTCAGCGGAGAAAAAAGGAGTGCTCCGCACGAGTAACCGACAGTTGTGGTGGCCTGTTGCTGCTACGTGACAAAACGGGCAATTAAAAAGTCGTCTCGGGTAGAAAATTTGTTGCACAACTGACAGACGTATAAAGACTCCGCGAAAGCAAGTTTATTGCTCAAGAAAGTTGCCATTCACCCAATAACATCTGTACATTGGCCAGAATTACTTGGCCATTTTATTTACAGGCATGAACCTTTAATTCAATTTATTATTATCAAATGTACAACCATAAAGTAATGGGCTGAGTATAATAGGCGTCGCGTGGTGCGTAAGGTGGGTACGCGCCGAGAGACTGTTCTACGTTAACTGCCACTTGGAACGCATTGCAGCGGCAAATCCGTGCGTTGTCAGGCGAGTAATTGTATATTTTAGTAATTAGTCAAACAAAGCTATTATTAATAGAATATCAAATTACAGACGGCCGGCCAGAACCACAGAGCGATGAGTCAAATGCTGTTAATCATAATTTACCTGATTATCAGATCTAGGATTTGTATTTAGAACCTACGATCATCTTAACGAACACAAAAACCGGATGCACGGATGTTTGATAAAAAATAGAAATAATTTTCTTTTAATTTCTCTGATCTTGTTACTAATTAAAAATGGATTGTTATTATTTATTATATATAAAATGACGCCGTATGACTAATCCTCGGTGCTGCGTATCTGTGACAGCGAATTAAAATCAGAATTAATGTGTTCATAAATAATGTGATAAC